TACGTACACAGTGAGAAGAGATTATGCATATTGACTGCAATTTGACTAATGGCTTCTATTATGTCTATTTCTGGAAAACTACATTGCCAAATATGACAGCATATACAATATTGAAAACACTTTACATATACGTCGTGCGCGTTAATATATTTTTGTTCAGTGTGACGTAAGAAGCAGTCCCACAATTTAACAGGACATTGTTCCAATTTGTAAAAACAAGCATTTGATAAATATATAGACTCCCACAATATTTTCACTTAGGTTAACGTTAACTGCTCGGATTGATACAACGCTACGACGGTAATCACCCGTGTCTTCTGACGTCCGCAATCCAAGATAAAATATGGTGGGATTATATATACAATTACATTCTGTTGTTTCCATATCCGTGGTCGTTATATTTGTTATGCTGCAATTGGGGCATTGTGACTAGAGTGACCTATATCTTAAGTGAGAGTCGTTGTAAATCAACAAGAAACAGTTGCTGTACGTTACAAAGTAAATTTACTATATTTTATGCTCCAATATCCTCAAACGATTCGAAACAAACTTAAACCCGTCACTACAAAGCAACATACATATATCAGCGAGTATAAACTAAGGAACCTATATATTATAGATAGGTTATGTTTGATTTGCAGATCCCAATCTTACATGCTGTCCATTCACACTGTAAGTATGGCTACATTCAGAGCCACCTCACAAAATACAATGTTATCAAGACAAATGGTTTAGTTTCTATTCTTTCAGTGATACTATTTTAAATTATTATAATTGTTTACAGATCAGAATGTGAATGTTCATGATTAGTTTGGTGATGATTATAGGTTTTTATTCTGTGTACAAGTCATGATTTAACACTGCGACTGTGCATAGCAACTGAAACGATTGTTAGGGCATACATGCGTTGTTTTTTTGTTTTTTTGTCATTTTGTCTTATTTTTTCAAACACCAGGAATGGTAGTTTTGATTCGAGCAAAAAATTTATATGTATTTACATAAAACGGAACAAAATATATGCCACATGACTTATAAGAATTGACAAGTGTACTAATATATCGAGCTTAATTCTGGACTTGGAGCCTCGTCGTCACACCCATGGAACCTCAATAGTCAGTATTAAGTGTCAGGTTTCAGATACGTAATACCAATCATTATATTCGTTATTCGACCCATATACTTTTGACAATAGTTGACAAGGTCTAATGATGTGTCTCTCACTAATGCATGTCGTAATAGCCTCACAACCGGGAACGACATGTCGTGGCGTATTCTCAAACACAACGTGTAATCAAAACATATCGAATTTTTCGGTTAAAGTTTAATCAGTTTCTCGGTATTTCTGATAATAAACTGAATTAATGTATAGAACATGTTACATAGTAGAGAGATATTCCCTTAAGGCTTCGATAGAGGCATGTGCTTTCACACAATATGTTAACGTAATGACACTGTGACTTATTTAAGTAATTCGCGATGATCTAATAATATGTATCTGGATAATGTATGTCCCTAATGTAAATGTGTCCCTTTCTTCTTGTTATTTGAGATAATTAATTTACATGTCTATTCCTTCGCGCACAACTATATGTGACACGCATCTGATGATGATGAGTGAAGAATGCATCCCATGGAAGCTAACCTTATTACAGTAATCGGATCACAGTGTAGGTTCAAGCATCAGTGGGTAGATGCCGCAAAGCTGCATTAGATTTGCAGATACGGCTTACTTCAAGTTCAGGAATAAAAACAAAAAATAACAAGCCTTTCAGTAATGACGTCAGGGGAAATATGATTTGTACTCAGGTTTTTGAGGGATGGCGTGTTGTACCTTTGTGTCAAATCTTCTCCGTACCTAATAATGTGTAAGATCGCATTACACTTAATAAGTTGCAATAAGATTTGAGATGATTGCATCATATGACAGTTGCTAACAGTCAGGTAATTCAGGTAATGCGACGAAGTGAGTAGCGATAATAACTGTTTTTTTCTGTGGCGATGACAACGATGACATGTAGGCAAGGATAAGAGATAACCATCTCGCCATTGTCAATAGTGCTATATACTCCATGCTTTTTCAGGCTTCGATAATCCGGGCGCCACTGTCGATCAGATTTCACAAAGAGAGAGAATAACGATCAAGAATGCAGTGTCAAGGGATCATATCCAAGGTTACACTCGAGTTTATACTCGAATGGTGAACTCTGGAGAGGCTCCAACAAATTGCATTCCTAACTGAGTAGCACAAAATATATGTTGAAGTGAGGACGTCTTTTTCCAGAATTAAACGTTGGTTTGATGACACCCACGATGGTAATTATAACGCCGTCATTGTGTCTCCCAGAAGATTCGGTGTTTATAATCTAATCTAAGCCTTTTTATGGGGACCTAAACAAAATAATACTTACACATTAGACAGCTCGACGACTACTGCAAATATCGCAATAAAATTAACGTTTCTATCATAATGTGCTTCTTTCTATCTATCATTAGAATATACGCTTCATCGTCAATTCATTATGTCCATCTATTAATTAAAATGCCCAAGTTCAAATTGATTTGAACCCACTTTAAAAGTGGAGTTCAAGGCAAATGTAACGTATTTTATGTTCTTCATAATGTATTTGTGGAAAATACGACGTAACCTAAAACTCCGGATGTAGGGAAATTGCGCGCAAAGGAATATATTATTATGCATACATTGCTTTTCATACTGGTGATTTTTTTTTTTTATTTGGTTTAGTTGTTAGCCACTCTGATTAATACAAACATATGCTGGATCAGCGCAACATAACAAAGTGCGTAAAATGAAACTAGTTTGTGCGATGTCATCAGTTTTATTTATTGTAATCTATTCTTGGTCATAGTTATATCAACAATATAGCCAACCTCTTGTCCAGCGTACTTTCATTGAATAGTACAATATGGTTGCAGTGAGCTACACTGAGCCACAGAACATTTTTCCTTTGCTGATCCAAGTTGTATAATGTTTCGGACAAGATTGAAGTTCGGCAGTGTTTACAGGCTCAATGTGCTCAAAGCTGTTGCCTCCCATGATGGTCATGAATGCGCAATATTGATGTATTGTGGGTTAACAGTTTATACGCACAAAATAGCACATACAAATGCACATGGGGAACTTGTTGTGTGGCATCTGAGCAAACATGTATTATAAGAAATAAATCATCTAAAAACTGGTGTTTGGCGAATAAGTCCAATAATGGCATTCAAGTCTGTAGCATATTAGGATATACTTGTACTTGAACTTGATTCAGTTGAAAATGCATTGCTTTAATTATATGTTAATTCGGTAAAATTAATGCTTATAAACCCCTTGGTGTGTATAGTACACTGTGGGCCTCGAGTCAAAAAGGGCATACGATATGTAACATTCAACGTGAACGCCTTGCTGTGTTGTATTACCTATATTTTCCAAACCTTTGGTTATGGATTCGCTTATGTGAACCAGTAATTATTTGATTGGGACTCCTTAAATAAATGCCAACCCGGCATTTTAAGCACATTTTGTAACGTACATTTCAAGCACTGCCCGTCATTACAGATCAATACGCATCGAGATATCGTGCGTGCATATGACGCATAACGTTGGGTCGCCAAGAAGGCTATCAATAATAGGATTCACCGCTTTAATAATATAAATCTGTTCCGGCCTTATAACGAGGTTATTTGCGCCGGGATATTGTGAGAGGTATGTACAATACACAATTCGTGTGCAGGACGTTGATAGAATTTAACATTATCGTCAAAATATATAATCACTGTTAACAGTAAGATTACAGAAATAAAACAACGTGATTAGAAGTAATCATCAAACCTCTACAGAGTAATTACTCATTCTGGTCGTATTTCTTTTATCTTTCGACTTCCTTATAAAAATTAGCTACTGCAACTATTGTCGTTTTTTTCCATTTAATGAAGTCCAAATCATCTGTCACATATATCAGATTATGAGTATCGCTTTAGAATGCTGGATAATGACCGCCAGCATGGAAATGTCAACATTGTAATCCACACGACTAAACTACAAATTCACTGCATAAATCCTATTGTAAAAAGAAATCTTCGCAGTAAGTGCATCCCTCCGACTTAATGAATAGTTATCATATATCAGTGTAAGATTATCCGTTGCTCATGGCAAATAAATATCGAATTTCATTAGGCGGAGTAATCGAGTTTTCTTTACGTTTAATCCAACTGACTATAGATCAATACTGTGTAATTTTTTGACATCGTGGTACATTTGTGCCCACAAGTTTGGAAAAGAATATATTTAAGCGTATGTCAATGCAATTATTCTACTGATAGAATAATTTCGACTTTTCTCTTCAGATGCCTTGAGATCTAAAATAATTTCTAACATGGCAATACGCATCTTATTTTGTTTGAAATTTAAATAAAGACTAATTAATTAAGTTATGCTCATTGAGGCTGATATTGACCCACATAATGTCATATTCGTTTGCACTTCTCTGTGTATTTGTATAGTTTCTTTGAATGTGGACTTCCTTTCTCATTGTCGATTGATCTTCATCGACATTTGTAATAAAAAAAAAACTATTGGTAGGTTTACTTTCTGAACGGTGACAAAATTTGATCGTAGCGCTTGAAAGGTTAATGTAATAGCTTTGAAATCAATGTCGCATATGTTATTATTTCTATGGTATGACATTACCCGCAATGCATAGAGCATGTCTCGTTATAATCTGCAAAAGGGAGATATTATCTGGGGAGATGTCTGGTTGTATTTATTGAAACTCCAACCTCGAGCTGAACACATGTTCCACTAGCAATCGATAAGTACTGCTTATTCCTCACTCTCTTTAAAATGGGCATTCTGTGTTTCCATCAAATAATCATCATGTGCGTCACATTCGAACATTCGTTTGAATTAAATCCCGATGTCAAACTTGATATACACACGTGAAGTAATACCTGTATTTCCCTATGCAGCGACAATGCACAAATAACACCAGCAACAATTCATTACCAATATTAATTTATTTAACCCAAGAATATATTACACTATTATCAGCAAGCTAGTGAAATAAATTAAACCATGTTTAATATTAAAATTACTCCTGTCACATAAAAGCTAAACAGAACATTAAATGGCAAAATAAATAAACAATCAAAGTTATCGATTCTGATCGCATATTTGTTGCAAAATCAAAATTCATTGGTGCGTTTAGGTACGTATTACCGACAACAGACTACTTCCCACCGACCATCAAGTAAAATGTATCTCCAAATCTCGTCACGTGACAAAAGATGAGCTCGTTCAATTCAATCATAAACGTGGTCTTATATACTCACAACTCCTGTCATTGACAAGTTTTAAGCAGCACAAGGCGAGTCGTTCTAAAGGTAAAAAATTGACGACATTGAAATTGTCATTTAGACCTATTTCAAACTGACAATTGCATTTTATCATGCACTGCACTGCAACCATATACAGCACATTAACGGTTCGGAATTAAAGAGAGGCGAACTGGTACAGTTGTGATATGTCTTAGATGAATCTCATCACTAAGTGAGTGTTCCAAAGTTCACTACTTCTTGTTATTATTTGAGCGTGAAGGCGTGGACTTGATGTACGGTGGGGTCGACACCGGTATCTTGTACTGGGCGTAGTAGGGAGAAAAAAATCTGCATGATATACCAAGAAATGTAACATTTAAGCTAGGGATGGAGAGTCAACACCGACTTGATTATTCATCTGCACTTTTCTTGAGTGTAACAATACGGTTGTGGCCCATAAGGTTCCTCCTTTTGTCTTGCGCACTTCTAGACTTACTGAAGGCATTTCTTTTGTCTCGGTCGTCGTCTTCGGGTAGCAACAGTTTGACGAGTAGCCTGCGGAGTGCGTCCCTTTCTTCTTGTTGCTCAATAAATTCCCTTTCACGAAGGTCATTCATGTCGTCTTCGTCATCGCCAACTAGCGTGTCGTCTTGAACGTCTTTCTTCCAGTAAGGATTAGCACATTTGGGACCAAAACAATTGCCGCCGGCTTCACTCATTATAACCAAGGTTGCCAATAGTGCAAAAGCAGCAACGATGAGTTTTGTTTGCATCATGACTGTTGTTGTTGTTGATTTGAGGATATGAGCTGCAAAATAAGAACAGAAACATTGTTGTATTGTATTGTATTGTATTGCATGGAATTGTATTGTATTTATTGGGCGGGTTAACTTGTCCCGACTATAAAAGACTACACACCGTTTTATCAATTATTCTATTTTCATTTTTTTGAATGCCCATTGCGAATATATAATATTGAACATTATTTTGGTTATTCAAACTGAAAATATATATAATATAAAATAGTTTACGGTCTCGCGCGAGCGCTAGTGAATTACGTCACTCAGCAAGAGTAAAACCATGCTCACGAGCCTCATACTTCCGCGAGACGATACAGGCAGATACTGAAGATAGTGTGAATATCATCAAAGCCGGCTTGTGTAAGCGCATTGTAAGAAGGATTTGAACAAAATTTGGCTGTGTTGGTCAGTGCGCATAAACACATGTGAATGGGAAAATGTCCGTCATTTGTATAATGACTTCAATTAAAAAATGCATCATAGTGCCCCAATATGGTTACCAATTTCCTTAAATGCCGGAAATGCATTACTCGCGCGTCATCGCTGAGTGGCGGTGGACTGGGAATATTACTTGTCATCGTAGTTCAGGTGTGCATGTCTCTTACCGAGATTAAACGTCACGATTTACAATATAATAACTTGCGCCCGCTGCGGTAGCATTTGAAGTCATACTGTACATATGTGTACACGATTTTGTCAAACTCAGTTTTTGAATAACCCGTCATTTACCTCAAATGTTCTGAATGGGAAATACTGTCGACCGTGACGTAAATCTGACAGTGATCACGCGTTAGTAACTGCGATCATATTTCTTCTTTTTTATGTACATTTCAGTGTATGTATGGCTCAGCGCGAGATACTCAACAGTTGTTCCATGAGTAACTGTAATAATCTGTTCAAATGGAGTGAAAATAAAAGAATTACCTATAGTTCCCATCATGCAGTTCGTTTGTTTTTCAAAGAAAAAATGAATGAATAATATGCCTAATCTCGTTGCGTCTTGCATTTATCTTAAGACCGGATTTGTTTGTCAGTACAATGGCCGTTATTCCAGGTGTCTGTCAGATTACCAGAGGCTTATTTTTGTTTCTATCACATCCCAACCGTAGCTAAGTAAAATCCTCACGGACATGCATCTGTTACACAAAATCTTCCAAATATGCCACGCATCACAGAGGCAATTGCAAAACTTTTGAAGCATATCAACGGATTTGTTATATATACAATTGCGATTTAAAAATTTAAACTGATTACCGGCGAAATTTCTTATATTATATTATCGTAATCCGCGTGGCCTCTCGTTAAGAACTGTATGGAACGGAGTGTATTGTTAAGACCGTCACGATTTTATAAACTAATTCAATCTCAACGGGAAGCGACCAAAGCTTTTACCTAAAAGTTTGCATTTGTATATTTTCGAAAATAATTAAATAATTCTAAACTTAATTCTAATATTCAATACTACAAATGAATTTTAATATATCACGCGTATAACTCTGAAGATGACTATATTAAAGCAAAACGCGCATTGTCATCTACGCCGCTGTGATTAACACAAAATACTGAAATGACAGTCTTCCGGTTATCAAAGAGGAATTCCAATAAGAACAAAGTACTTGTAACTGTCTTCTTTAAAGAATATTTGCAATCTATTTTCAGCACCGACAATGGACTGTTTATTTTAATATTGAAAGTCGAAATGGTGTCCTTTGCAAGTAGTTGTATCCAACGTGTGTGTGTGTGTTAAGTAGATGTTGATCCGTTTCCAAGTGTTCAGTTTTTTCTTCGGCGAGTACACATGAATGTTCAGTCAGAGCGTGCCGTGGATGGATCGCTCAAGTTGCATACCTCGACAGAAGCTACTATGTTAATGTTAGGTTTCGTATGATTTATAATTAGATTGAAGTTGTAAATGTATCAGGATGATATGGGTGGAAGACGCAACTGTTAAAAATACCGTGAGTGTCGTGTTTCGCGAAATTTCCTATCCATATGTTTGGACACCTCCCAAGCCTCTGGCAACCAATCACATCTATGCTTTCGACGCGTTTGTTTCTATTTACGTCGTTTTACTGACGTCATGATTGTGACTACTCGTAATTATAGTTCCATCTGTTTCCTGACGCCAAATCAGATTCATATAAATCTCGGCGTTAATTTCACAAAAAATGTTTGCATGTTAATGCATAACAGATTCGAGTGTAAACTTTAATAAATGTTCGAACTTAAATGGTTGGTTGGTAATTATTAATAAATGTTCAAGCATAAGTGCTTCGAATGTTCATCTACAAGAATGGAATGGAGCGAAAATGAGTCTCTTTTCTATTTTTGTCGTATTTTTCCTAGATTTGACAAGTTTAAACATTATTGTCATAGTATTGCCCTCTACAGTGCTCTCCCATTTGACGGATAATTTCCATGTCGTTTTCATTTTTCAACGTCTGTCAAAGTTAATACGAACATGCGTGGATTCATTACTATGCAAATTTTCATGGCATCATTAAATGAGGTAATTCCAGTCCTATTATATCTTCCCCGCCGAATATAATCAAGAAAAAATATCTGCGATATTCTTAAGTTTGGTCTTATTGTTCTATGTTTTCCGAAGAGAAATACGCTGTTAGCCGTTTTTTTTAATGAATTCTCGATGAAAAGCAAAATATTCCACGAAAGTTGAAGAGTAGGCTAAAATATGTTGTGCCGTGATCGGATATGTCTGGCACGTATGACTATAGTTTTTATTAATGCAGAATCATTGCCGAGTAATTCAAGATAAAACAAACGGGAAAGTGAACCGTCCCCGGGTATTTTACAGCTTATCGCTTCGCAGCAGACACACTTTTCAAACAGAAAAGTAAACCCACGCGGTATAAATCTTTAAAACAAAATCTATCTATGCATGGATTTTGCCTCTGAGGAAAGACAGTGGTACGGGGCCCAGACAGACAGAGGTCTGCAAACAATTCGTGTAGTCTTTATGTAAATCAACAAAACACAAGCCATGATACAGTAAATATTTTGCTCGTTGTCCCAGGTGCTATACATTTTGATAATACGAATTGTGTGAATCTAGAGAAAGATTTTCTGACAGCTGAAGTGAGACTCCGAGTCCCATTAACTAGCGTGAAAACGTTTTGAAAAAAGGTTAGCGCTAGCTCTGTGATGAGTGTTAGTAGCGATACATGCCTAAAACGACACTGCAATGTATGAACTAATAATTAAACGTCCCCACTGCTTTTCACAAGTTTCGCTTTATACATATATAGATTACGCTTTTCAGTATTAATTAACCCATTCGCGGACAGTGATTAGAATCGCAGTGCATTCATATAGACATTCATGGTAATAGAGTGTTGTTGCAATGCGAGAAACCTCTGCTCTAGCTGTCCGTGTTTCACCTGCCAATTCACGTATCGGTGGACTACTTTCCCGCTAAGATCGTTTCATCTCCCTATGTTGCCGCTTTATTTTATCCATACGAGAACCATCATGTTCTGAAAGTACGTACGTAAGCCGCAGAAACCCCGTCAGATGATACTATTTTTGCTCGGTGAAACAAATAACAAATTGTCGCAGCCGGCCTGGAGACAAAAAACTACGTAGTTTTGTCGAGAAGTGAGAATTGTACGCTGTCATTCTGGTGTCTGTGTTCTTCAATTATAGTTTTCAAGGCATGTAAATACGACCCAATAGGGAGTAGAACTAAACTGTATAATCGCCTTAGCGTCAACCAAAAAAAAATGAGTTCAATTTGTTCATTCAGCTAAAAATCCTGAAACTAATCGCTCAAAGTGTTTGTTCCCTGACAACATAAAGCGAATTTTGTAAGCACACAATGAATCGGGTTTTGCCTCTTCAACCGTTTTTGATTAATCAAAATACAGAGAAACGCCGAGGTACAGCGATCGCTGGGAAAATTGAAAAAAAAAAGAATTTACGCAGAATAATTTGTTTTTCAGGTGGGTTTTTAAAAACGATTCTGCACGCAAAAATCAAAGCAATATAGCGAAACACACTTACCAGCTAATGTCAAACCAAGTTTAAAAGAGTAGAAAATCGCCTGGTCGGAGATTAAAACAACGGGTGCAGTCAATATATTATGATGTGATATGTAGTGATAGGTACGCCCGACTGACCTAACTGCGTCGCTCGGCTCCCTATAAACGCTTACCTCACCTACGGAAATATGCTTCACGCATGCGCGATTGTGAATCTTAACTACGTAAATCGCTGTGGCCCTGCCACTTTTATTACTGGCCTCGTAGCCCCTCCTACTGTTGTGTTGAAATATTAAAAACTATAATGTCATGCACTGGCCACAGGCGTTACCACAGAACCCGAATAATAACGTCGTACGCAATCAATATTGCTCGGGGCGAACACTATTTGTAACGGGGGTCAGTTGTTATCCATAAACGGGAAGCTCGCAGAGCGATGAATTTCAGTTTTTCAACGTATTTTATACGGCGAACGTGAGTTAATGTTTGAAAAATACGCTTTTGAAATATATGATCAACGTGCATGAGCGAAAAGTAACATTTGATTTTACGTAGAGTAAGCAGATTGAACGAGTATGTACATTGGACGGCTCGATGTTTAATGGAAATACACATACGAAGTTAAACCACTGTTATGTGAACGGCACGTGTATCATCTATTTTCTCCACGCGTGTGAATTAAATGACAATTCTTTTCTACATTTGTTTTACGTCTCGACAGACACTAATGATCGTAATTTATTCATGCTTGGATTTAGAATTTAGAAGAAGTCGGGAACGATCATTACGACAGACTGGAGTTCCGAACATATTTAGACTAGTTTACACTGTCAGCTGTTCATAGGCAAAAGTTATCTCATATCATTCCCGTCCCTCCACGCCCTGGTCAAGTAGATAGTAAGCAGCGTTTCCAGTGTACGAACTGTGAATAATATACACCCTTGTGAAATTGACACTGAAAATAATATGTAGCTCAACCACCAAAGCAAAATTAACACACATTCTGTGGATATCATGAAAGATATATACAGGCAGGGTATCTGATGGTTTTTTTTCGGGAAAATTAAAAGGTTTGAAAATTTATAGTTTTTGTGGATATAACGATTACAGAATCCAGTGTATGTGTGAATGATTCAAGGTGGTGCACGTGCTTGTTGTAATTAAATGATACTAGTAGGGCACCACTATTAACATCACAATAACTGCGTTTACATGATCCGACCACAGTGACATTGCCCTACCTAAGGGTCGAAACGGAACTCGTCGGTATCGATTGCTAGCTACGAGCAAATTACACATGGAAATACAAGAGAACACATTGATCAGCCATCGGGTACATTATGTTTCTTGTTCCACCCGAGGCTAAACTAGTACAACCAGTGACTTATTGTTCCATCAAATTACTATGTAAATAATAATAAATATATAGATATATAATTATACAACACTAATTGAACTGAAGAAGGCGACGCATTGAAGCGTATGTATTAGGCATTTACCATCGAGTTTCACATATATGTATAAAAGACCCCCCCCCCTCTATAACGCGTTTTCTATGACTTTATTCAGAGCTGCTGAAATTGAGTTACGTGATGACGCACTTGACAAGAGTTGCTGTCTCGGTGGTTCGTTTTAATTGTCCACTCGACGTGCACTAGACGTGTTTCACAGCTAACCCACCTGTCTCTAGGGAGAGTCTATCGCAAATGTCTCGATAATGGACAAAAATCGTCAGGTTTTCTAATTTAATTATATAGTATTATACCTTGATTTGGGGGGTTTCAGATTCCCTCATTGTGCTTCATTTTGGAGGTCATTGACTTTTCGATTTCGATACAGCCGACGATTTAATCAGATTATTCGCTTTGGCATCACGTATTCCTGTTCAATCTTCTTTCCATTCATCAAGCGTGGTTTGAATAGCGGTTTCCGCAATTAACGGTATTATCACAGAGATCGGAAGTACAAATATAGCTCCACCTATGAGCAGTCTTCATTTGTAGTAAGATCAATATGTGGTGTTATTTGAGTGGGGTGGTGGTTGGGTGTGGGTCGGGGTGCCGTTGCATCCTTCGCGTGGACTGCAACTAAACGCCTTATAAAAAAATGCGAACAATACAATTCTGGTCTTCAGATTTCTTCTACTCCCCCCACGCGAATACCAGTTTTAGAAAATGAGCATCGATATACGTAGCTATATGTAATGTAATATCATTTACGTTGTTAGCAGAATGACGTATATGTTGTCATTTTGTTCGATAATGATTTGTGCGCACGTCAAATGTGGCAATACAAAACGATTACACAAATCATTACAAGGAAAAGACGAACATTATATCCAATAAACGTTTACAAAAGCGATGATGCAATGAAAATATAATCGAATATTATAATAATATTAATCATTTAATTCAACAAGATAAATCTACCGATTAAGTTAATTTAGTAAGAATTACGTATATGTATCAATTTATTATTGATAATCACAGATCCAATTTAGTTTAATTCTATTCAAAAGACATAATGCCAAACATATTAATTAATATATGGATGTGCCTCATATGGATGAATATTAAAAAGTAGGGAATGGTCTGACAACACATACCAATAGTTAGGCTTGTTTTGACCGACTCCAACCCTTGTACATAAATCACATACCATGTACAAGCGAAGCTATGTACTATACCGTTACCCATGTTATGTACGTACACATTTAAGTTAAATAATTCCGTGTCATTTTTTTAATATAGGATTTAAGTACTGAGCTTTCCTACTCGACAAACAAGGTTGTTCTCATGGTATATATAGTCAATGGCCGTACACTGCAAATAAACTATTTAATTTTTAATAATATGTATTTTCTCGTTAAAAATAGGAAACGCGCTCTCAGTATTTTAAAATGAATATGAATATTACGGAATGTCCGTCGGGGGAATCTGACTGAGACACTGAGTGAACGGTTGTATTTCTGATGATTTATGGCTCCGTCAAATCGATGATTTTGCTCATAAAGCAACATGTAATGGAGTGCGATCTCTCTTTCAAGTTTATTATTATACACATTTAATATCTCAGTCGGCAGTGTGTATGTGTGTGTTTTATGGTTATCGATCCTTGTGAACGTTGAGGTGTAACACCAATATTCTTATAGATGGTAACGGAAACGTAGTTTTTTATTTCCCTCACTCACAACAAATACGTATCAAATATCATACAGAATATTGACACGGTTGTACATTTATTATAATTCGACGGCCAGAGATTAATTCAGAATCGCATTTCATACCGTGTTGCATTTTGTAGTTGTTTTTTCAGCAATGGTAGATATACTGTTCACACCCTCTGTGTCCCCCCTCTCTCTAAATTTAATTGGAATAAACTACAATTTTTTCCAGATCTCGTGACCCCTTCGCTGTTACCGTGAGATCCACGTGTATTGTCATAAATCCAAGAAGTCCATTAACATATTTGTTATACTAGCAATGATACTCGGTTCGTTCTAAAAAAGAAAGAAATATTTGTGTACGTGTGAGAGAGGGCGAAAGGTATCAACAATGTCGACCTTTCAGCTATTTGTTTGATTGTGACAGTACTCACAGCTGGGTGTTGTACGTCATCGCGCGCATTCTTAGTCGATACATTTATAACATACGTTGTCTCTTTTATTCTTTAATTTCTGACACCGGAATAAGTAATCGGGTTCACATAGTATACCTGATAGAAGTGTGTACAAATACAAAACAAAGTCACGTTTGTACATGTAAAACAACAGCATATAAAAACGTTAACGCCATTACGTTAGATTTTACAGCCCGTTCTTTTTTTTAAAATTAGTTATTATTGCACATATGGCGAATCAACAACCGAGCTGCTCTGTTTTTTTTCAGAGAGAAAACTAATTTTAGCTTTAAAATTATTAGAAGTGTCGGCTGACGACGACTATCACAAAACATGTTTAACTGCTTTGAATCGCATGATATACATTTACGTTTCACGCGATGTTTTCACTTTGTAGTCATACTATTAGGAAATGTGAAGTGTTTTCTACTACGTATTATATGTGAAATTGGAATTTCAAATCCTCCATATGTTATTGTCCGAGAAGATATCAGTAGCTTTTCTATCATGACGTGTTGTATGCATTTTACGTGCATCTTACTACGCCATCTCCGACAATGATATTTCAATCTGCGAGGTATAATAGCAATAAGCCTCTCGTGCCATTGAACGATACGTCGAATGTGCTCTTTATTTCAGCAAACCTAGCTGCTCAAATGAAGGGAGGTCGTTCACGAAGCAGTTACGCGAGGTAGCTTCATAAACTCGGGTAATTTCTCACGGCGATCTCGTCAAAAAACCTGAAACTGCTGTTTCTTACGAGCGACTGAGGAAGTATTGTGTCGATAAAGTTAAAAAAAAAACGCTCTATAAAATTGCACCGTGGTCTGAATTTGAAATGAACAAAATCTATTTTACACTTCAACCACTGCGGTTGTGTTACTTTAAAATCCAGTGTTTTCCCCGACTTGAATGATTCTCTGATTGGTACTCACTTCAAAGACACAGACTAGTCTTACTAGTATTTGAACTGTTAACTAACATGTCCAGGTCCACTGTGGCTCTCAACATTCATGCTGATTGACAGAACATTTACTCTATTTGCCTCAACTCAATAATCTTAATTACCCATCATACAAAACGAGAGTTGGCATTTGCGCCATGTTAGGGGGCCCAAACGTAAGGCAGCCACCTGTATTCGATTACAGGTTCGCTCGCAAGAATTGCACGTGAAATTAAGAAAACAATGTGCGCGTATACCAGCAGAGTTCGATACGATATGGATGCAACGACTAGCACAGGAGTTCTGTTATTCGGCTCGACGACAATTGCGAATAACAAATGTGTGTATGCAAATGAGATACACTGTGCGATTGAGATACATGTAGCGGTTCCTGGTCACACAGAATAAATGTTACAATATGGGGTTCCTGTTTCCACCACGCCTTAGCCAGAGGGGAATCGGTATTTCACTTTACATCTGAGTCAACATCTTCCTTTCAACGATCCGTTTGCATTATTCTGCAGTATTCATTCGCTGCCCGCGGGGTCAAACGGTGGAGTGGACGTCTGTTTTGATTGAGCTGCGCCGCTTTTTTCTCTTTACTGAAAATTATATATTATCAGTGAATTCAATATGATTGAT